GGTGGGTTCTGTGACTGCGTATCTGTTACTGTAGGTTCCCTCATCACTGTTGAAACTTGAGATGTTAGAATCTTCACCCTCTGCTGCCTGCAATTGATAGCCAGTATAGCAGGCACCCACAGGGTGGGAGTGTAACTTGACTCAGCATCTCCTGGGATCTCTCCCCCCTCTTTGTGGTCACAGCTACCACAACATCTAGTTCATGGCAGGGCAATGGGATCTCCAGCTTCTACCCTGCCCTCCTGATCTCTTTCACTTGTTGCTAAGGGAAGGGGGTAGGGGGTGGTCAGCTAGGCATTCACCAGCATCCTTCTTGGTCAGATCCGCTGTATATATCTGTTGCCCAGCAGTTGGCTCAGTGCAGCGCGTGGATCATCTGGGGTTCTATATCTGTCATTACCTACCAGGTCTTGTGCACTGGAGGTGATGCTCTCTGTGTTCATGGAGAGCATCTCCAAAGCAATGCAGAGATCACCTTGGGTCTTAAGATGCAGGTCTACTGCTCCATGCAGAATGTCTTGGAGCACTGCTCTGCTCAGGCTTTAGAGTGGCTGCCCAGTTTCTCTACAGACTGCTGTTCCTGCAACAAACAGGTTTGGGAAAGATAGCTCTCTCCCCAGCAAGCACAACAATCTCAAAATCTCAGGTCCCAGTGGCAAGACCTTGCAGCCTAGCCTGGTGCTGGAGGTGGTGGCAGCAAGTCCAGGTTCAGGGTAGCCTCTCTCCACTGCTTCTTTGGGACTCTGGTCCCCTCACTAGGCTCCCTCTGCAGTCCTTGCTGCCAATGTCTGGCCTGGTGCTATGATGGTGGGAATGGTAGTCACTCCAGCAGCTTTTTCCTGGGAGAAACTTTGCTGATTTAAGAAAATAGCACCAGGCTCGGTGGCTCAGCCTGTAATCCTGTGCCTTTGGGAGGCTGAGGTGAGTGGATCGCCTGAGCCCACGGGTTTGAGACCCACCTGGGCAGCGAGACCTCATCTCTACAATAAATCAAAAAATCAGCCGGGCGTGGTAGCACGCACCTGTAATTCTGGCTACTCGGAAGGCTAAGGCGGAAGGATCACCGGAGCCCAGCAGGTCGAGGCTGCGGTGGCCGGGAGTGGCCACTGCACTCCAGTCTGGACGACAGAGTGAAATTCCAACTCAAAAAAAGAAAATAGCACTCAGCTTCTGTGCTCCAGGAAGTACTAGGGTCCAATCAGAGCAGCTGCAGAACCAGCCATTTCACCAGGAAAGCCCTAGCCACTTGCTCCCAAGTCCCCACTTAGTCAGCCATTCACATGCCCACTTACACACAGACATGCATGTAAATTCTTTCATACACTCACTCACTCATACAGAAACTCACACAATCCAACTGGTTACACTGCCATCTTGGAAACTTTAACAAGCACAGTTTTAAATAGTCAAAGCATGAAAGAGGAGTAACAAGGGAAATTTTAAAATATTTTTAATCAAAGGAAAATAAAATCAAACAAATAATATTATTTGATGAACCTAAAGTACTGCTTAAAGAGAAATTTACAGGTTAAATGATATTGGAAAGGAAGAAAGAATAAATTATACCCAAAGAAAGAAAAATAAAATAATACCAATAAATGCAGAAATTAAGAGCAAAAAACAAAAGAGAAAAATTAATGAAACAAAAAACAAAGTCTTTGAAAACGTAGGTAGGTAGATGATAGGTAGATAGATAGATAGATAGATGATAGATAGATAATACTCTACCCATACAGATCAGCAACCCCAAAAAAGGACAAAAATTACCAATATCAGGAAATAAAGGAAGAAATAACTACAAATCCTATCAACATTAAAAGAGCAGTAATAAACTTCTGTCTATAAGGTCAACAACATAAAGAAAATGAAAAGATATTCTTGAAAAACACAATGCCACAAATCACTTAAAGAAAAACAAACTCAGTTAATCTTATAAACTGGGCTCGGTGGCTCAGCCTGTAATCCCATGCCTTTGGGAGGCTGAGGTGAGTGGATTGCCTGAGCCCACGGGTTCGAGACCCGCCTGGGCAGGTGAGACCTCATCTCTACAATAAATTAAAAAATTAGCTGGGCGTGGTAGCGCACGCCTGTAGTTCCAGCTACTTGGAAGGCTGAGGCGGAAGGATCGCTGGAGCCCAGCAGGTCGAGGCTGTAGTGGCCGGAAGCGGCCACTGCACTCCAGTCTGGGCGACAGTGAGACTCCAACTCAAAAAAAAAAAAAACCAAAACTTATATATGTTACAGCTATTACATAAATTACATTTGTATTTCAAAATCTTCCCACAAAGAAAATCCCAGGCTCAGAAGGCATCATTGAAAAATTCTAACATTAAAAAAAACCATGAATTCTACACAAATTTGTTCAGACTATAGAAAAGGAAAAATACTGCACAACTCATTTTATGAAGTTAACATTATCCAGAACTAGACAAAGATATTGCAAAAAAAAGTATGAACAATATTTCTAATGAAAATAGATGAAAAAAATCTTCAACAAAATACTAGTAAATCAAATCCAGCAATCTATGAAAAGGGTACTATACCATGACCAAGTAGATTTTATCTAAACTATGCAATACTGGCTCAACATTCAGACTTAATCTGTGTGGTTTGTTTCAACATAATAAACAAGAAAAATATATGACTGTCTCAATAGATGCAGGATAGCAGGATGCAGATGCAGATACAGGATAGACTTCAACATCCTTTTTTTGATAAAAATTCTCAGCAAATTGGAATACAAGGATACTAATTTAACATAATAAAGAATATCTATAGAAGCCTGCACCTAACTACTAGTAATAGTGAAAGACTGAAAGCTTTTTACACTAAGTTTAGGGTCAAGACAAGGATATCCACTCTCACCACTCTTATTTAACATGATAATAGAGGTCCTATCCAATGTAATCAGTCAAGAAAAATAAATAATAGACACTGATAATGAAAAAAAAACCTAGAAACAACTCAAATATTCCTCAACTGATGAGTCAATCAACAAACTGGTATATTCTAGCAATAGAGTACTATTCAGCAATTTTAAAAAGCAAACTACAGAAAAACACAACAACATAAATAAATCCAAATGCATTATGATAAGAGAAAGATGGCAGACTCAAAAGACTACAAACTGCACAATTCCATTTACCTGACATTCTGGTAAAGATAAAACAATAGAGACAGAAAATGCATCAGCACTTGCCAGGGGCTAGAGAAGGGGAAGGGACTGACTACAAAAGGATGTGGCAAAATTTGAGATAATAAAACTGTTTTATACTTAGATTGTGGTAAGTCTTTTTGTCAAGAAATCATAGAACAGTACACTGAGAATATATTTTACTTTACGTAAATTATACCCCTAAAAAGAAAAAAAAAGACAGAGTATGTGTATGTGTAAACTCTAAAATCAGACTGCCAGCTCTGCCTCTTTCTAAATGTAAATCTTGGGTATGTTCTCAAACTTGCTAAGCATCCATTTTCTCAACTGTAAAGTGAGAATAATAATAGTATCTGCTTCTTAAAGTTTTTAGCTTTCCTTGTTGCTATTCCATTGTTAATTATTATTTGATGTCCTACCTGCTATACACGTATCATTGTACTCACTGTTAAGAACGCAGAGATGAATCTATGGCATGGTCCCTACCTTCCAGGAGGCTACATGTAGTGAATAAACGTTTCCTGTGTGGCCAAACGAACACAACTATTTTACTGCCATTAGACTTTGCACTTACAAAAATTAACAAAACCAGTGTTAGGCATCTATTAAGCCACATTCACATCGATTTCAAATATATAGTTCAACTTTGGCAAGAATTTTCTGAAATATGAATCGAAATTTCAACCCAAATCTAAGAGATTCCATTGTTGGTTCACATATTTCTAGAATTATCTCTACAGATAGTTTTAAAAGAGTCAAAATTGCAATGATTTATAGTTTAACAGGTTCAGAAAGAATATCAGCCTTCCTCATTTTCACCAATTTATTTTAGCATTTCAATGTTACTTTAATTTGAATAAGAGTGTTAAGAAAGCGATATAAAGAGGAATATGAAATTAGTCTTACATATTAAGACTTTCTGTGTTTGGATAAAACACATCTCTAAAAAGATAAAGCTAAGAGATATCACTGAAAAGTCTGCTCTTTCCGACAAGAGGGAAATTAATAACTTTGTCTTTCCATCACATAAACGGCCTGTTAATCTGTGAAGTACATATGCATTACAACCACACATCCTGCACACATACTCAACTCCCTTCTGTGTATATCATTTGCCTTCATCCCTTAGCCAGGTGAAATGTCCTCACTTCAAGGTTAGAGTATCAGAAGCATGAGAAATTCATGCTGAAACAGACTACAGCTACTTTTACAGAGTTAATTACATTTTTATCATATTCATTATAAATTTATTGAAGGCCTAATATGTGCTTAGTTCTCAAAGCATAAAGTTCAATTCGTAGTTTTTATTAAATGTGTCCTTACCATTCAGGGCTAAAAGAAAATCAAGCATACTTATTTTAAAGATTTCCCATCTACTGTCACCTCACATCACGTCTCAGTGAAACACTGTGAGAAGTGTTCTTGGAGTGTTATCAACTGAAAATTCTGCAAGAAGTAAGGCTTTTTGCACAGGATTTCACACTGAATAATATAGTAACATCTAGAAATTCCTAACCTAGAGGGAAAAAAAGAACATTTTAAGATATATTTTGAAAAGTATGACATGTGCACAAGGGGCTTCTCAAACAGAATCCACAGACTCATTTTCACCATTTCACTTGCTCAGAACTATTGTTTTGGAATATGGAGCCCCCAGACATGAATCTTCCAAAGTTTTATTTACTGGAAATATTCCTAAGGATTGCATCTCTCAGTTAGAAGCCAGTATGTGGGAAGGTATAAGAGAGAAAAATAAAATCTGTATGATAACTAAAAGCAAATCAAAATAAAAAAGTAGAAATGTCCTTTGGAGGAACCCAGAGAAAACGATGACTGACTAGCTTACCTGGCTTTTTTCCATTAACAGTTTCTAAAGTACCAGGGAGCAGGCTGTCAAAGCCGTGTCGAAGACCACTTCTTTGCTTTCCAAGGTGATGCTCTTCCTCAGCAATAGAAGAAAGCACATGTGGTGACTTTTGGGCATCAAAGGTCTGATTGGGCCACTGGGACATTGTGGAATGTGACTCCTCTGCATGTTGGCTAAATCTGAGGCTTGAATTTTGGGCAGAGTCCTGCAAATCACTATTACAACATGAAAAATTATCCACTTCAAGAAATAAGGAATTTGCATCCTCTTGACTCCAATCATTGTCTTGTTCTTCATCTTCAAGGTAAGTTTCCTGAATCTGAATATCATCTAAGTCCTGGTCTAGCTTGTCACTCAATTTAGAGTCTTGTTTGTTTAAGTTAACCAGCGAAGCAGATAACATATCTCCTGCTTGCTGAAGAGCTTCATAAACACGGGATATCCAGGAAGAGAGAGGCTGGAAGAAGTTCTGAACATCCTGAGACGCCATGGTAATCACCATGACCAGCTATATGAGGTCTACAGAGTCCAATTCTTCAGTTCCTTCAATGCTCTGGACTTAATGTAAACTATAGAATAAGCATGATGAGAAATTAAATTGAAGGTCTCTTAATGGCTGTGAATATTTCACTCTCAAAACTTCTCAGCTGAAACAGAGGAAAGAAATACTTACACCTGTTAAAGTTACAACTTCAGACCCATCACCAGATACCTACAATCAATGTCAGACATCATTTGGGGACAAACAGAGACCATCATTGAAACCTTAAGATTTTCAGGCATCAGAATATCTAGCACAAATGCATTCCAATAAAGTAAAAAAGGTTGCTTAATAACAATGACTGAAGGTCTAGATGTAGATTATTTCAATGTCTATTCACATTCACAGGTATGTGCAAAGCTTCCATTAGCAGTAATGATTCTATTCATGTGGACTGAGAGAATTCTATCCCCCATAGACCATACTTAACAGTGTGAAAAGGGTAAATAAATCTTCATTAGGATCCACTTGGCCATGACATTTTAAAATACAAGGAAGGTTGGATGTTTCATCTACAAACCTGCAGATCCCAGAGCTGTCTAATAAGCATCTCTGCTTTGTGACACAAAGGTTTATCCTTTCAAAGGAAATGTGTGTCTGGAATTAAAAAGTTTTAAACAAATTCTAAAATAGGATTTTATATTGTTATGCAATTTCTAGAAATTATATCTATTCTTGGGAAACAATCACTGAAAAACTGAGGGTGGCAAATGGATTTTTCTAGCTTATCGGAGACATGTTCCTGGCGTCTCATTGCTTTTGTCTATTGCAACCTCCCAAAGATAGAGAGCCATCTACAACCTTTGAGACTCCAGAGACACACTTCATCCCACAAGATTTACAGCCTGAAGGAAGCAGTTACAAGGCATCAACAAAACAATAGAACATTATGAAGACCCTAGAGCTAAATAGCTATTCTTTTACATGTATACATGCATATCTATATTTATGTATACACATGCATATGTATGAATATTATCTTATATATTAATTGCTCTTACACTGCTCATCAACAGCTCAGGATGGATGTTATGACAACAGAGCCTAAAATCACTGCTTGAACTCAATTACCACATCTCTTTTATAGCAATAGCTTCCTTCTGACTAAATCTACTAGCAATTCCTTAGGTGTATGCCCTCTTGACCTCAGGCTACTGCATGTAACGTGACTGCTTACAGTACTCTAAAAACTTCTCATTAGCCATTTGTGGATGTATTGATTTATCCAATAAACATATATTGATTAAGTACCTATTAAGTACTGGGCACAATGCCAGGTCTAAGGTAACCCTGAGGGCTTTGTCTCCATGGAACCCACATTTCAGTTAAGGGGAAATTGAGCCCTCTGCATCTTCCCCTTATGCTGAATAATTCATGTGTCTTTCTTTCAGGCTCTTCCTTGTCTTCCCACCAACTGCATGTATGCAACCACTCATTGTCCTATGATTTCTCTTCCTGCCCCTTGATACTCACCAGCTGGGAGAGTTGGCCCATAACTAAGTTTCAGTTAACACCTTTTTAGAAAACTCCAAAATATACATCGCTAATCCTTTACTCAATCCTTCTTTCCAGCCTTGCATCTCTGGCTATCTAAGCCAGTGCCTTCTCTAACTCTGGTGTGTCAGAATCACTCAGTGAGCTAATATAGAACACAAGGACCCAAGCTGGGTACAGAAATGGGGCCCAGACTGAACTGCTGTATTTTTGTCAAGTTCCTCAGGTGAGTCTGACACCCTCCAACAGCTGAGAAATACTGATATGAGGAAACAGCTATGCTTAGATATCTCACCAAAATCTCAACTTCAGTTCATCCAAATTTCACACATCACTTTGCCACAAGTGTTCAATACTATAGACACACAATGTTGGTGATTGTAGATTTCTCTCTTCAACACTACCTCCTTCCATTACTTCCATTCCAAGTTCTATTAGTTTTGAGTCTACAAAGACTCTTCTATGATGTTTTGTACAGTGATCACCTTGCCCTACACTCTAGTTCTCTCAGATATTTGCATAACTTGTTTTCAGTCTATTCTTTCTCAGCATCAGTTCATTCTCTACTTGCTCACCATAGCTTGGCCTCATAGCAGATCTATGTCCAATTCTCCCTCTAGAACAGAGACCCTCTGCTTTGCTCTCTATTCTATTCCCAGTGCCTAGCAGTGTGCTGAGCACATAGTAGATTCTCAGTAAATAAATTAAATCCCATTAAAAATCATGCATAAAGCAACACCTAGCATATGTTACATACTCAATAAATTCATTGTTAATGAATAAAACCTACTCAGAGTTGTTGAAAAGATATTAAGCAATGTTATCACACAAATCCACTGCTTAGTGACATTAAAGAAATTTTCAGCATTTGTTCCACCCTACTTTACCACCCAGAGTGCTTTTGTTTTTTTCCTCCACAAATAACATAGTTCGTATAAGTTACTATGCTTAGGCCATCACATACGTAGAAGGTTCTCTCTGAGATATCAGCAGCTTTAGTTTCTACCATTGTTGTTTGGTACATGAAACTTTTTAAGATAGTAATGACATGTCTCCCTTAACAATTCTTTTCATTGCTTTATTATACAGACTTCATTTTCATATGCAACTTAAAATCTCTGAACAGCATCTTCTTGTCCAGTCTTTGAACTAGTACAGCCTATATTTTGAGCCTCATATCCTCTTGTTTTCTGTAATCTCTGTCCATCACACCACCATGGCAATTATTCTAGAAAATGAATTTCGCATCACTCTCCTAGTTTAAAAAATAAAACAAAAAGTCACTGTGACTTTCTATTACTTACACTGCAAAGTTAGAGCACTGTCAACTCTAACTCATAATCACTCACTTATGTTTGTTGACACAATGTTTTTTTAAAATGTGCTTCCAATCAATTGCAATCTTCACCTCTTCCTGTTGTTTATATACACTTGCTTCACTCATTTCTGTATGACCTGCCTGTCCTCTGGAAGCCTTTGAATTTCCAAGCCCTTTATCCTATAGGACAAAGTTCAGCTTCTTTACTTAGCATACAAGAGAACAACTGGTCACAAAAACTTAACCGTCAGCATCATCTAAGCAGGCTCAGTGCTAGAGAAGGCCCTAAAGCCCTTCTGCTAAGTGTAAACTCTGTGATTGTTGAATCATTGGGTCTGAGGTGGTCTGGGGGATGCAATAGGACACTGGAATGAGCTCGGATTGGAGGCTATTTATCTACCAGCTTGGAACTGCCTCTTTATATTAGCAACTCACAGAACCCTACCTCTTGTCCTAAGTGTCCAGTTGTATATAAGCTGAGGACTCTGCCATTCCTTGCTGTAAAGTCCTATGTGACAGTCTAACACACAAAGTATTTTCCAAAGTGACTTCTCTTTCCTGACTTTCATTTGTTTTGCCCAGGATGTCTTCTCTCCCAATCCAGGAGTAAATGATAATTACTCATATTTTTAACATGGAAAACTTCTATTACTTCCTCTGCCAATTCTTTACCTATAATTGAAGACATGGCCTCAGGGGGCTTTGAATGTTCCTTTATGATATGTTGTTTTACTTGGTGTGGTAAATATTTGTCAGTCTTCTGCTTCCAATGGACTGGGAGTCCATTAATGCTGGGACCATATTTATGCTTTGTAGGTTCAGAGCAGGGACACTACGTGTTCCATGAATGAATGACTAAATGGATGGATGGATGAGTGAATGAATGGAAGTGACTAATGAAACCTAAGATTTTACCAGCAGGACCAAAGGGCATTGTAATATTGAGGCTAGATATATTCAGAAGTGCCTTTTCAGGGATTGGTCTGTACTTTTGTCAATAACCGTTATCAAATAATCCCCAAGTGATTGGAAAGAGGCCAAATCTCTCAGTCTATATATAAAAGCGTGTCCAATTGTTATATTCCAAAATATTCAAAAAGGACAGCACCTACTGTTTGAATCTGAAAAAACTACTTAATTAGCAACACTGGAGACCTTGCATTTTATACTAAATCAACCTAAAGCTAAAGGGGTTCAGAGCTGGCAGAGTAACTATGGAGATACCTTTGCTGCTTAGGTAAATTTCAACTTGATGGGTAGGCCACACCAAGAGCAATGCCAGATATACACCTAGTATCCTAGTTACTTGGTTGGCTTTCTTACCACTAATGAGAAGACTAAGTGACTTTCTGGTGTTATAGAGGAAAAAAAAAAAAAAGACAATCCAGGTTCCTATATTAGAAGGAAAAATACATTTAAGGTCTTATCATACCTGAGAAGGCTCATTATTAGAATTAAAATAGTTCATGATATTTCATTATTATAAGTATAAAACAAAACAAAAAAGAGAATGGGGGAGGGGGAGAAAGGGAAGGGAAGGGGAGGGGAAGGGGGGAAAGTTTATATGCGTTTAACATACAAGCTCCTATCAACAAGGGTACATGCACAATGAACATTTGTATACCTAACCCTGACTTATACCCCACATCTTTAAAATAAAAAATTAAATTTAAAAAAAGTCATATAAGCTCCTATCACAAACATGACCTGGGAAGGGTCACAACCTCTTGTGCTCAGAATAAACTGGCAATCTAAGAAAGAATAACAATTGATAAAGTCTGAGGGGTGGAGGGGGAAGTCATTAATATACTCCTAGGTCTACATTGTTTAAAATCTTATTTTAACTAGAATCATATTTTACTTATAAAGGCATTAAATAAAGATCCTTTTTAACATAGGAAAGCACTAGGCAATAAACATTAAAAAGATGTGTTTCTGTGGAAGGAAAAACTATCAAATTCCTGAGCCATATTTTGATTATCCTCACCAAAATCAACTGTAAACAGAGAAGTATTTCACACCCAGAATAATAATGCTTACTGTCCTTTAATGGCTGTTAGTTCCATCTTTCCAACCCCATTTTCTACCTGATGACAGGTGCTTGCGGGGAGGGGGAGAGTTATGACCTAAGAAGTAATACCAGATTCTAAACGCTATGCCTTAAACTGTGTTATTTTGGTGAAAACTAATATGAAAGCCTGTATG